GGGGTCGCAACTGGACCCCCTCCAGAGGGGGGGGTCGCAAAAATCCCTGAAAATGTTCGAACGTGACGGTTGACCCTGCCTGAAGCTCTTACGTAATTTATGCGACCGATTCAACTGAATTGTTTCTCAGGGAGAACATTACTCCCATTATGCGAATCCCCTCGAAACTCGCTTTCCAGTGTAGGTCGTTATGGCACACGATCCTCGAAGACATTGAGCTCGACCAGTAGACCATGTTCCCGGGGCAAATTCTTCTGATGCCTTCTGACGACTGTGTCTTAGCCGACTTACTGAATAGTATTAATGTTAATTTATTAAAAATAATTAGTATTAATACTAATATCATCCCGATTCAGTGATTGCTCCAGAGCCGAACAGATCATACGTATCGATTACTCAGATAGAGGTGAGCATCATCAAGAGCCACGATGGTGATAATTAATAATTTAGTGTAAAGTTTTATTTTTACCTTGAAGGATGACACAACTGGCCCCAAAACGGAACTATGGTCCGTAGTGAGCACCAGAGAACGTAACACAGACAGAATTTCCTGTAATGTAATGACTACAGCGATGAGTAACGGGCACACTTTTGTGCCGGCAGCGTCCGACTGCTGAAAGTCATTCCATGCCAGAGTATACCTACCTATGAACGTAACAGAAGGTAGTTTGTCGCTTGTATACTTGGAGGGACACAATATGTGGCTACTAGCACACCCTACACGCACTCCAATCTGCCCAGTCCCCTTTAGGACTGAGCATTACGGGCCAGGGAAGAGTGTGAAGTAGTTTTCATTTTCTCTATAGTCCTATGCTCAGCCCACACATGGATGCCCTCCCCAAGCATACCCGCGGCAGAAAATTTCATTCACACCCGTCGCTTTTGGGTCCGCTATCCCAGCATGCAGGGGAGGCATTTGGTGTGATAGCTGTGAAGTAATCCCTAGGTTGGGATAGAGCTTGGGCACGCACGCACCCCGAGCTTCTTCCCCCGCACAGTTGCATTATTGTCTGAGAACAGTGCTGCACGAGCAAAAGGTATTATGCGGATTCATTACGATTAACCCATTCGCGACCGCGCAGGATTGCGCAATAGCAGCAGCGTCAGGAGATTTTTCTTCAATAAAATTCGAGTGGAGGGAGATTTCCTCTGCCCAGGGCTGGCGTAGATGAGCGAGGGTATGAAGATTCTTTCCATGGAAGAAAACTTTCCAAATTCCATTTCAAGCCCTGCAGCCACAGTAATGCCATTGTCCCGAGTGAGAGCTTTGTCAGCCACCGGTGGCTGACATTGTCACGAATGGGTTTAATGACTGAACGTTGCCACGTTATACCTTGAAAATGCTCTGTCTGCTTTTTACAGCAGAACAGGGTGCTATCGGATGCCACAAAACAAGCTGTGGTAACATATGTAACAGCCTTTGGTCATGGCCGTCGATGGACGCCCAGTCCAACACTAGTGGCAAGGCATCAATAATATAGGGAAAAATTACCGAGACTTACAAATATCTACTAAGATTGCGTATTCATACCGTGGCCTTAAAGGCAAGGGGCGTGAATTGGTCTGAATTTTGTTCGAAATTTAGAAAGGAGTTACGACGAGTAACTGAAAAAAGCAAAAAAAATGCCATAGAAAATACTGAAATGCTCGCATGATGTCGACGTGGTTATGTCGAGACACAGCGAGACAGGGAAAACGCGAGAGAGCACGTCGTGTGCAAGAGGGTGCAGACGCCACGTATGCTGCGATTGGTGGGAGTGATAGCGGTCGCAGCGGCCAGGGAAAAACAGTAGCTCCCTGCTCCCACTCTCAAACCGGGCGCAGCAGCGAACCGTTGGCGTTTTTTGGGGCCCCTGCTTTTTTATACTCAAGGAGGAGATTTCTCTAAAAATCTAATCGCGACCCCTGCCTTTGAGCAGCCATGCAAAGTAACTCCAAGAAAAACTGTAGGAGTTGGTGCTTGTTCAGGCCGCGTCATAGCTAAGGAATAGTAGCCATACATTGTGATTGAAAATAAAAAGCACGGCATCACATGGACGCGAAAAAGGTAAGGCTGACACTTGCAAACGGAAGGGCCATTGAGGTCAAGATGATAAAGTCAATTCAGACCAGCTGAACAAAAGAGCACAAACAATAATAATAAAGCATTTGGCACTATCAGCCTTTTTGGAACTACGCCAAGCGTTCAACTTCCTTTCACAATCTTAGTAGCGTTTGAATGCGATTTGGCCCATAGAATGACTTGAGGGGTCGGCCGGTATGAGACTCTTCGATTGCAATGCTACTCCTCCCAGTCAACCCTCCAATGATCGATCTGAAAGGAAGGGAGGGTTGGTCGGTTCATGTGAGATCCGATCTGGCACTTGACGCCTAGACAATGCGCGTGGTGAGTAGCACCATTTGCCACTATACCATGTCCGACCAAAAACAAACTTAACCAAACAAGGGTAAAGTTCCAATCGACTGGGAAAAATCACTTAAAACTCCATACTAGATAGAATTGGTAGAGCGATAATGATCTCCAATGTGACCATGAAATGACACAATGCACTTGGAGTCAGCGCGAGGGGTACGACGACAACGAAACACATACGACTAATGAGAAACTGGTTGGATGATGCGATTGTGCGCAAGCGGCAAGGAAACTCGTCCGCTTTTCCGCACGATCGAATTAAGTCGTTCGGCTGTTGAAGAACTGACGGCGACAGCAACGGCGAGACGGTATGGTTGTGGAGGCGGTCGTGCCGAGAGTGACTAAGTGAAGACTGTTTATCACAGCACCTTCACATCACACTGCAAGATTGACGGGTAATATTTCATGCCGTAATGAGCTTTTCAGAAGTTTTTTAGGCATCGATTAGAGGTGACGAGCTCAAAGTAACCTTCAAAAACACTTCGGAATGAGGAGCTTGCGGGCCTACTGTAAGCTGTGCAGTAATTGCCTTGCCATGCTTTTTGTAGGTAATTTATGAGCTCTTTTACGAGAGCTCTAGCAATTATGAGCCATAGGCTCCACACTGCATCCATTATTCTCTCAGCTTTCTATGTAATCCACTAGAAAGGATAAAATGGACTGGTTCTGAGTTGCGCCGCGTATGTGACTTTCACTGTGGATCGCATACACATTTGAATGGGTATTCAGTTTATACAATATATTATGAATGAGCAAGTTTATGTTCTACCCTTATAGCTGATGAGTTACCTTAAGTTGGCCTTGCAAGGTAAGTTATCCACGAACCGTAAACATAGTAAAGGATACAGTTAACCCTATATCACTTTAACCTTTCCTTGAATCAGTGAAAAAGAAGTAATTAAAGCGTTTCGTAGGTTAGGGGTGCTAACTTAATTAGGGGGACCACGTGGCGGCGCGGCACTCTATCCCTCTGAGGCTCAATCTGCGGTGCCACTGTACTGCCACGGTGGGGCGAAATAGTGACGGCCCCTATGACTACGGTCATAGAAGAACAGACGAAGAGAGCGCGGTGCCGCTGGTCCCCCCTAACTAAGTTAGCACGGGTTGCGATACCAACCCGGGAGCTATTAGATCCTCCTTCTTTCTGAGTGGAGAATTATTCCGACAGATCAATTCCAGGCCACTTTTTCCAAATTCTTCCGCAATGAAAACTACGCTACCGAGTAAGAAAAACAAAGAGTCCGCAGCTGGCAGTAAATTCCACTGCTTGACGGAGGGGGGAAGGCCCAGAAGTTTGGCTCCCAATCAAATGGGCAGAAGCTGGACCAATTTCCTACTAACAAATAAGACGAGAAGCTCAGCTGAGTATGTGAGATTACAGTAGCTGTGAGCGAACACCGCAACGAGCTCGGGTGAATTTGAAGGCTGATCGCGGAGATGACAATGTCAGCATAATCGACAACGCCCCGAACGAAGCGCTCTACCATCTGGACCGCAATAAATCACATCGCGTTAAATAATGCAATGGGAACACAAAGCCTTCCTCCCTCAGCCACCGAACAGCAGTCATTTCTCGATGTTCAGAATGAATCAAATTCTGAGATTGGGAAAATGGAACATTAGCGTAAGAGAGAATGCAAAGGATGAGCCTCTGTGCAGGATCCGATGCCGGGATTTGAGAACCCTGTTGAAAGACTGTGCCTAATTATTGTACTTTGAAACCATGCTCCGGGAATGGACCTCTGAGTCCAATTTATGTTCTATAGCCAGCTCAATTATGGGGAAAAAAACCACTGCATTTCATCACCCATGAGCCGATAGCAGGTAATTTATAGCTGTTCTTGAGAAAATCGGGGATTCTTGACTCAGCAGATACTCTTTAAATGCGTGTGGAAGCATGAATTAGATTGCCCCTTGATCTTCTTCCTATCAACTGAAAAGGAGTTAGACGGATGGCTTATCTATGACAATCTATGAAAACGCAGCAGCACCAGTGAAACTCCTTTTCCCTCCTACTTCAGATGATATTCCCATGGGCACACACATGCCTTCACTAAAACAACAATAGTACCCATGGGCTGCTTCACAGCTCCCATGCGAAGGCAATCTTCCCATGCACTAACGTTCCCCAACAGATGGTAAACATAAGGTAAAATACAAAGTTGCACTGCTATCTTCCCATGGCCCGCAACATGCGAGCTTTCCTATGCACACTTCCCAGGGTAATTGGGTAATGCGTGGGCTCCTATGTGCTGCTAACAATAAGACAAACCATCCCAAGCAATGGCCAAACCCTAACAGAAAACGAACACATGGCGCATAAGAGATAGTGACTCTTTGAACGGATTGGTCTCTCAGGGCACCGACTCACTCATCCGGAAACCCTAGCACCTTTCCGTAACTATTACATATTTCTCCGAACGAGATCGAAATGAACAAAAAATGCAAGGTTTTATTCCTGTAGATAATTGAATTGTCTGGCGAAGAAAACCCGTAATGAATGGCTTCAATATCAAACATAACAAAATTTTGAAAATGCATCAGCTGTTAGTTGATCAATATTCCAAGGAAAAATGGCTTTTAATAGCTAAACCGCCTGGAAATCAAAAGTCTTTCCAGAATGGCAGTAAATGGCACGGATCCTCTCCTTTGCTGGCTCGAAATTCATCTGCAGCGACAGCGTCGAATAGTAAAATTCAAGAGCACGCTGATAGTCTCCCTGCAAGAAAAAGCCTATTGATATCAGAACATAAAATATTGCTATTCCCATGACTGTCAATACTTACATCATTGCAATAATGCAGCTTTGTTTGCAGTATATGGATATATAATAGATAAGAAAAATAAAATTCATAAATAAACATTATTAGAAATTGTACCCCATTAGTTTCTATGGGTGAAACTCCAATTGGGGGGGGGGGGAGGTGGGAGGAAGGGGGCACTCCCTGTTATCTTATCCGTAGTACTAGAGAGCACTCCTTTGGGCTTCAACCCTATGGATAAGATAATAGGTAAACGACTCATTTCAAGTGCACTTTTGATAAGGACCGGTGTATGCCCTACATCACGCACATCCTGCTCACATCCTAGGCAATTTATGGCATGTGATCGTCCACCCTGGGCTCCTACACCCTTGCGCCTAGGAAAGGATGTCCATACCCTAGTTCAGGACCATTTCCTTGGACCACAGCAGGCCGAAATCTGAAAGCACCTTAGGAGTACTTCCACACTACACCGGTCCTTATCAGAAGTAATTTAAATGAATCGATTACGTGTCATGAAAACTCTTATCCTTATCCTTAGTATTGGAGAGCACAATGGAGTGCCCCCCCCCCCCCGAATTCCAGTCTCACCATGATTCGAAATTCCCTTGAAGCCTACGAGAAAAAGGAAAATTGATGAGATGAATCACATATTCAACTTTTGGTCAGAATCTTGAAGGTAATATTTCAAATGCGCCCACTGCTTTACAATAGTACTGGTACATTATAACCTAGAAAACAATATACAAAAACAACAATACACAAATACAACAAATACATATGCAAATTATGGACGTTGTGAAATCGGTCGCTGACGAGTGGGAGGATTCAATCCATTAAATCACTAGATTTGACGATCGCTGATCCGCTTTCCATTCACATTTTTTAAATATATCAGTGTATTTGCGCATAAGCCTACTACCCCGTAATTAAACCTGTGACTGCATTTAGAAACGAGATGGCCAATAGGTTGGGTGATGAAATTCACAACGCAAGAAGCCACACAGACATAAGAAAACTTACAGTCGTAACCTTCACTTTAAAATCGCGATCGCTCATTCCCGAAAACTTTCCATAAGCGCTAATCAAAGAAATTTTTTTCAAAAATTCTACCTTTGTATTCTAACCCATGAATTCGGAGAAATAGTTATCTGCCGGGCAGCGCTACTCGCTTCTCTTTATTTAGACAGACGAACCGAACTACACTAGCTTATAGCATTCGCAACCGCTTTGGGACAATCACAGATGAGTTAAACACCACAAATTCGGTAAGGCCTATAGAGAGCTATGCAATGCATGTGAAATATACAGGGGGGGGGGCAAAAAAAGTCACTTGGCCCATTGCGCATATCATCAAACTTTTCGTCGCAAAGGATGCCGCTGTNNTTGGGAGTTATACGGCGAATTATTCCCTAGATGTCTCCTCCCCCCATAAGCAGAATCAGGCCCACCTTCGCTGCGTTCACCGTCTCCAGAATATGACGTCATCTGTCATCACAGTCGAGCTCAAAGAGGCCTACTATAATCGCTCCATTCTGAAGCTGCTACATAACTTCTTCAAATCGATAACTGGTGAATTGGCTTCTCAGGGACACTAGCTCTGACTATGCAAGATGGCTTTTGACCAGAGTTTCAGAGACGTCGTAATCGTCTATGGTTTCCTCGACGACCTCGTTGAGTCGACCAGGCCCAATGTTCCGGGAAAATCTTCTGATGTCGTGGGATGCAGAAGAGCCCCAATATTATTTTTTGATAGATTAGGCTCTTGTGCTCTTCAATATGCAATTGAGCTCATTCGATTCAGTTCTGGCAAAGTGTAATTAATTCTGTTTTGAATGTGAGTGAAAGGACTTTTTTTTGCACCCCCCCCCCTGTATATTGCAGTATAAATTGAACCTATAAGGATAAAAAGGATAAAGCATTTGCCGTTGATCAATCCCTTTTGGGATGCGGCACGCATTCTACTTCCATTTGTACATTCGCAGTGGCGTTTGAATGCGATGTGGCCTATACAATGACTTGCGGGGGCCAGCCGATGTCAAGTCAGTGTTTTTTATCCTCCCAGACAAGTCTGGTACCAATTAACCGACCCCGGAGGGATGGAAGGCTTGGTTGGCCCGGGCGACTCACGACCCAGGATTTGATCCCCGGACCGCTCGCGTGGTAAGCGTGCCACTTGCCACTACACCACTTCCGCCCTGTGAAAAAGTGCGTATCGTAAATTATGTAAAAACCAAACTATGAAATGAAATTGGAGTATCACAGAAAAGTTTGAAGAAGCACACAAAAAAATTCATTAGATCGATTTACCATCGATGCGTAGATGTTGGCAATGGTGAAATGAATGGCGACAAGATTCGGACTGGCCGACAGGGCAGTTCCAGCTGCAATCAGTGCTGAATGTAGCAAACCAGCTTGATGGCAGATATTCGCCAAAGAAACCTAAATCAGTAATAGAACATCGAATGTTTTCATCAAGTCAATCTTCATCAGCTTATTTTAGCTATGGAGGGACAAAACAAAAAAGCGGTGGACGTCAGTCAATCAATATGGGCTGCGCCACGCTCCTGACCAGTCTCGGAATATAGAGGCACTTGTCTGAGCAAATAGCATGTGAGTTGACCAGGAAATGTCGGTTTGTGTTTTGATTGAGCGTTATTCAACTCAGACAAGCCTTATATCTACCAGCCATATACGTCGACGTTAGGGATAAAGGGCGTTGAGCCTAGGCAGGTCCGAATCACCAAGGAACTGCGCGGTACCGCTCCGCGGTTACCTTTCTCTGGTTGCAGCCGACCTTATCACCTAAGATTCTACTCTGAATGATCTCTCAATAATCTGGTCCCTGGTGAAGAGAGGTTCATAATTTGGTAGATCTAGTCAAAACCTACCAATGCAACGTCTCTGGTATGAGGAGGAGCTGTCTGCAAAGCACATTGAAGGCATCCAACCGCTCGATGGGCATCACCAACAACACGCCAATAAAGCGACGACAAAACACACAGCAACCAGTTCACTGCTTCACCGTCTGCAATAAAATTCGCTTTCAAAATAATGGGCTGAAACTGTAGATAAAATGAATTCAAAAATTGCCCCCAAAGAACTGCGTGTAGATTGTTCAAGATAACTGGCTAGAGAACATATTAGGGAAGCGTCGTCTGGCTCAATAGAGGACACACTCTTCGATCATCAGAAAACATCAGAAACCAGAAGAGCGCTCATGTTCGTAGGGAAGACATTCAAACATGGCATTAATCCGCCGGTTAGTGACACTAGGACTAAGCCCAAAGGATGGGAGGCACGCTAGGGAAAACAAAGAGCTCACGTCTTCGCCCGGAATCGTTCTCCGAACCCCTTAGGGCTTAGTCCCGAATTCAATGTCCCTCCCTCCCCCAGCCATTAGCACTCAGAAAAGAAAATTAAAATTACCGCTACTACCGATTACTTCACCATTTATCACCAACCAAATTGCTCATAGGCGTCAATTGAACAATGTAACGAGAATTCAAAAGTGTTATATTCTAGTAACTGCTATCTAAGACATAACAGATACCAACAATGGCAAAATTGCTGGTATTCTTGAATAGGAAGAATAAGAAATTCCAACACCTTACTTTTACCCATGCCGTTTGCCAACAACGCTGTGTGCAATCGGGCAGCTACGTGTTCGATCGAATCACGCTCATTTCCCAATGACTTCAAAGCCTGAAACGAAATATGATAAAAGTTAAATTCATGGCGATTGGAAGGATGTCGGCTTTATGAGTTAAATGCTGGCTCAAATCCTTTTCAAATCAACCGAGCCCCTTCCCTTGGTTGGATGACCATTTGCTAGGCCTACGACTACGACCGGCTTGTCCATAGGCTATGCCCAACACTTAGGCTGGCGTCAGAAATCGCGATTCTTCGCGTGATTGTAAAAATCGCGGGTGCCCCCATTTGAACATTTGAAACACTGAATATGAAACAAAAGATCATGAGCAGTCGTCATTCAGCCATCACCATCAAGCAGAAATGGCGGCGGGATTGGAGAGCACCTTGCAGTATTGATCGGGCACTTGTGATTTCTGTGACCCGTCGCGCGAATCGCGCGAATCGCGCGACGATCGCGGACTCTGGTACAGTCTTAGGTTAATGGGAAAAAGTCCTCACAGAAGAATGAAACGCATGGACGATGTGTAAAAGGAGGAGGTATCACTGCCTATATGGGCAAACCCACTCATACGACCGATTCCCGCCTCAGCTAAGAGATTCTTCATTCCTAACAGGCAGTTAGCGCAACAATGAGTGAGGATGGAGAGATCACGCGATTGTTCATATTGAAAGTGGCGCACTACAGCGCTGGCTCTACTTCAGAACCTTAGGCGATGTCAGACTTTGCGAATAGCGTCCGCGGTCGCGTTGCGGTACCAGCCAATTGAGTGATTCACTGGCCGCGACGCGACCGCAGACGCTAGCGAATCGCGCGATTCGCAAAGTCTGACATCGGCCTTACAATGTTAAAATTCATAACTCACATCAGTCAGTGCTTTCTCCGGCTTGTAGAACAGAAACTGATCGCTCAATGCGAACGCAGGCAAATGATGCATGCCCAGGATTGGCGATGCTTCCCTCTGATCTGAAAATCCTAGATATTTTCGACCATTTCACCCTGAATCGGATACATGGTCACTTGTCACAATTTGATAGACTAATTCTCACCTATTGAAGGGCAGATCGGTTGCAGCCCAGCAATTCCAGGCACGGGTCCACGAAGATCCACGTATTTCGCTATGTCTTCGCCTTTAGCTGTCACCGATACCCATGTTGACACCTGGTTCTCTAACAGGATGGAGAGCTAGAAATTACAACTTGAATATGCAAATATGTCCCATGTCTCCACATGAGCGAGTGTGAACTCGTACAATTAGGGGCGTGGCCTAGAACGAGGCGGAGAGCCACCTATTTTGGAATATGTTCCCCTCGCTTAGAATTCAGTAGTGAATCATACCGACCTTTTTCACGCCACTGCATACATTATGC